AACATACACAAATGATTACTCTGAATATTAGTGTTTTGGCCTTTTAATGTTTAATGTTGGAAGTTTTCTTATAAGAGATGCAGTCCCTGAATGAAAGAGGGCTCACAGCATGTTTTTGTTATTAAACCATATTATTAACCTGGTTTTTTATTTAAATGTGCCCTTTTCCCCAACTAGATTTCATTCAACAAATAAATTGCCCGTTTTGTGCCAAGCAACCTGTTTTACCACCATATGCTTTGGGGGAGGGAGTGGGAGACGAACTTGGGCCACCTTTGCAGCCTGAAATCATTTAGATGTTAAGATTAGGCTACTCATTTTACAAAGTTAAATGGGTTTGTCTAATGCCAGGTTAAAGCTTCAATCCCAAATAGCCTGATTTCCCTCCATTCAGAACTAAATCAACATTGTACTGACTACATGTAAAAGGATATTATTGTAAGTTAGGACTTGGATCTAAAGACATTACACATCCAGTTCACATATTTATAAGCCATTTTATGTGAAAGGCAATTCAAGAAGATGAGGGAACCACTATGGGCCAGTGGGGAAAGTGTCAGGTGAACATGTTTGCTCTCCACCTACTTTTGTCCAACTCCTGCAGAAACACTGTTCTCACAATCAGCATCTCTGGGTCTGAAGCAGCATATTCTAAGTGTTTTCAGTATCTACACAAATTTGTGACTTCTCTACATACTGTCACATTTATCTTACCTCAGAGGGCAAACCCAAGATTCAGAAAAAGCATCCATACAGTCCTTGCTATTTCACAAAGAGCTCTTTGAACCCAAAAAGGACCCTTTCAGCTCTCAAGTGCCCAGATTGGACACTCTGCCTTCCTTATATAAATAACTAGAGGCCTGGTGCACGAATTCGTGCACAGGTAGGGTCCCTCAGGGTGGCCTGTGGGGATTGGGCCCCAGCTCTTGCCCCCAGCCTTGCAGCCCTGCAGCCCCGCCTGGAACCCCACCTTGGCCTGGCGCCGCCCCCTCACCTGCTCCACCATCCTGCCTGCGGGGAGATCAATCGGGGCCAGGCCTCCTCCCCACAGCCCAGGTCCCTCAGCGCCTGGGAGCAGGGTGGTGGCCCCACCCCCCGCCACTGCCACTGGTCTCCATCTGCAGGGCGATTGGTGGGGCTATCAGGCCCCACTTGCACCCACCTTGGCCTGGCGCTACCCGCTCACCTGCTCCACTATCCCACCATGGTCCCACTCTCATAGGGGTCCATCGAGGCCAGCAGTGCCTCCACTGCCGCCCACTGCCAGCGCTGCTTTGTTGATGCCTCCTGGTGATCAGCGCAAGTCATAGTGAGCGATCAAACTCCTGGTCGATCTCCCAGCTGCCCAAGGGGACAATTTGCATATTAGGCTTTTATTATATAGGATACTTAGAGGCAGTTTGCTGTACATTTCATGTGAAAAAACAGTTAACTCATGAATGGTCAAGGACTGATTACTAAGGCCCCAGCTCACACCCACACCTGTTTTGGGACACTGCATAACTGTCTAGACTTCCCACCAGACTAGACACCCAGCCCACACCCACACTTATTTTTTTGACATTGCATAACTTTATTACTTCCACCAACAGCTGAAGGGATGAGATGAGATTCCATGAAGTTCTTTTGCTACCTTTCCATAGCACTGGTAAAACTTTGGTTGAGGGGAGAAGAATCATAAGTTCCAATATCTTAATTTCAATTTATCCAAAATGAAAACAAAACTGTGGTTTCATGATCTCTGAAAGTCAATTTCCATTAACTAGCATCATAAAGGGACAAGGTCCATAGAAACAATATTGAAAGTAGAGATGTATATTTTCATAGAAAATGTTATTGTAGTGTCCTGGCCAGTGTGGTTCGGTTGGTTGGGTATTATCCCATGCACTGAGAGGTCACTTGTTCAATTCCTGATCAGAGCACATTACTCAGTTTCATACTTGATCCCCAGTAGGGGATATGCAGGAGGCAGCCAATGTTTCTCTCCCTCTCCCTTCCTCTCTCTCTAAAATCAATAAAAACATTTGAAAAGAAGAAAATGTTTTGTAGATGTCCAACACTGCAGCCAATAATATGGTAAATGAACCAAGACTCTATTCACTATAACAATTTTATCTTTAATCTATCTGAAAATTGAATGTGTATTATTTCTTTAACAGTACAAATGGTTAGCAATATTAATGCAAAGCAGCATTCTATAGGTAGACACTAGCATGGAATTATCAGCATTTATTTAAAAGTTAACATTTAAACTGTATTGTAATAAATACAAATACATTTATTTGGTTCTTATTTTCAAAATCACCAGTTTGCATGGCTTTCTACCTGAGCAATTCAAACAAATTGACAAAAATACCTTGACAAATTCTGAGCTTTCTTGAAACACTATCAGCAACACATACAATGAAAAATATGAGAACAATTTTAAAGTTCAGGCCCTTACTTCATAGGACATAGAAAACAGATATGAGAAAACACTTTTGCCCCAGTTAAATAACAGCACAACAAAGAATAACAATGTTAACTAATAGAAAGTAATCGATAGTATTTTCAGTTCTGTTCCATTCCCTACTAAGTCATTCAGTTGAAAAGTACAATTATTCTCTTCCATATTTAAGTCCTACACAACAAAAAGAGGTTTAGTTAAATCTAGAATGTGTTACAACAAGACATAAAAACCCAAGGTTGTTCCAAAAGTAAACATAAAACCAGCATTTTTATTTTCTTCTAGGCTCCAAGATGGTATTTAGTTAGCAAACAAAACAAAAGAAGACAGAAATTATTACACAGATCTAACTTAGCACCAACTCTATTATACAAAAAATATGCACATACTGTTTTAAACTATTTTTATTATTTTATGTCCTTATGAGCAGCAGATTGTTTCCATGACTAAAAGCTCTACAAAGAAAAATGATAAAATAAATTGAGGTGTTTTTTTATTCAGAACATATCTGTTTTCCATTATAAACCCATAACCTTGTTTCAATGGCATGAAACATGAGAAAATAAACAGGCAGGGTCTCATTGAAAGAGAATAATACCTGGTTGCAGAAAGTTGTCTGACAAAGTACAAGCCATTAATAGTTTTAAAAGGCTGCTTGGACAACAGTACTTTGAACATTAATAGTCAATGCCAGTCTTCAGAAGAGAAAAGGCATTTGCCCTATGAGCGATTTTTCAGATTTGACAAGCCAAACCTAGTTTTGATGGTAGAATAACTGGCTTGAAAGTGGAATTGAAGAAAACAGAGTCAACAACTCATTTGTTGGTTATTATCTTAATAGTAAACATAACCTGCTTTGCTACATTCACTTCTGAACTTTTGCATGTACTAGCATACTTCTATTGAATGTGATTAGAAGACATTAATGAAACAACACATGGCTCTCACCTTAGATAAATGAGAAGATTTTCTAGCCCCTTCAGATATCAGGTTGCTCAAGAGGCTGGTTATGAATACATGTTGTGCCTCTCACTCTGGGCAACCACATTGACTGGCATTCTACCTTGGCTTTACCAGCTGGTACTGTTCTATCAAGTTAGGACTATTGCAAATGAATCATGTGGTATGAAAATGTTGCCTTCTACCATTTTTTGCTGCTGGTAATCTGATCTTATCAATGTCTTCAGTTGCTAAGTCGGGTATAGCTTTGTTGGAGATAAAAGGTCATCTACTGGCCCTGAGGTTCTAAATCCAACATAAGGCAGAATGAATCAGTCAAGCTTTCAACATAACATGCACTGCAGTAAGTCTTTACGAATCTGTAAAATATCTCAATGTAAAAAAAACATATTCAAGAACTCCCAAAAACAGTAGGTAAAAAGATAAATTGCTTAAGAGTTTACAAATCTGGCACACATATGACTTTCCCCAGCTAGAAAACTATGGGCATTGCCCTTGACTCTTCCTAACTCCATGGCATTATTGAGGATTAAGGAGGCACTTGTTACTGTTTTAAAAAGTCATTTTGGGGCTATCCAGTGGCTTTTTACAAACTGATGTCATCCAACCCTGAAAGGATTATGTAACCTGAAATGGAATACTGTCACGTCTTCTCAAGTGCCATTATTGCCCGAGGATCTTTCAATATTCCCTTTTGCAAGTCCCACTGGTTGTATCACTTCAATCCTGTTGCTTTTCTAGGCTGGAATGTCATAGGGTTCTTCAAAAACAACTCTGCTAAGAGTCCACTGTCCCTTTAAGACTCAAAGGACAATCTGAGCCCCTTTTATATGCTTCTTCCAATACTTTGTTTCTAAAAGGAAAACTCTGAGTACTATGAACATATTAAGAAGATTAATTTCCTTCTGATGGGTGCTCATGAAAACCTCTAATGATATGAAGAAGTCTATGTTCTAGCTGTTGTCTCATTTCTTTTATACATAGTTGTTTCTAGATGAAAGGTAGGAAAGTTTGTTGTACATGGTGTTCTGACGAAATCAAAGAACACGCGAAAAGATCCTTATCCGCTATTGTCCTCTTTGAAGATAAATGATACTAAATGATGACCTTACGATAGCTAGAGGGTCAAAGAGGCTATCTCAATACTTCTCATCGTTAATTTGCTCTTTCGATGGCACCAAATTAAAGTTATAGTTGAACTGTAGAAATGTCTGCTCTTAGATCAGGAAGTTTTGCAAGCACGTTGTTTTACCAACTTTCAGAAACTGGATGTTTTGTATTTCCAAAGCTTGCCAACGCACCTGCAATGATTTTGACCCATGTTTTATAGTTTGGCAAGGGAAACAAGGTTTTTCAATTGACTTTGCTCAAGCTTTTAAATGTTGCTCTCTCACTCTTGTTGTTGCTAACTACACAGCTATACTTGGTTTTAAATGTTCTTTTTGCAAATTGTTTATTGTGAATAGGGGTATTCCTGATCTAAGAGACCTTTAAAGCATTTAAAAGTATAAAGAATTGCTTTAGTTGTTTTGTAAATAGCTTCTATAGCCAGTGTGCTCCTGATTGTTATATCTAATATTATAATTATCAGAAGTTGGCCTGAAATATGTAGAATCCTCATGTCTTGTGAATCTTCTTACATTCTGGTTATATCTTGTCTGTCTTCTTTGGGGAAAACGTCTTGAATAGAAAGCATTAGTAAATTTTGATGATGTTGTTGGAGCACGAAAGAGCCTGTAGTTCACCCTCTGGTAAAATGTATTATAACGTAACCACCTCCTCTTTCTTGTGATATTGCCTAGGAGGTAACCAGAACTGGACTTGCGGTAGTTGCCCTGACCAAACATGTATTTGGGGCCTCGCCTTTTCTTCATTTTGCTGTTGCTGTTCTCAACTCTCATGAAATTGTTTTCACCCTCAAGCCATGAACATCTTCGTTCATACTTGAACCTCTTGGCCCGTTTCCTAAACTGGTATTTAGAGTGTTTCTCCTCCTCAAAACGTTTACACTTTGAATACAAGGTCGGCTGACTTGATCTAATTTCTTGAATGTTAGTGATGACTTCAGCATCGAGAGATCCTCTTTCAGATGCATTTTCATATATGGCCACAGATTTCTCTTCCTCCTCTTTGTTTATGATGAGGGTTTCATTGAAGCATTCAGAATCACTACTAATTTCCTCGAGGAAATCTGCCAACTCCAACTCTGCTGACCTTTTGGGTGAGGAAAATGGGCTTTGACTTCCGGATTTGGAATCTTTGACCTGGTAAGCATGGGTCTTTTCCAACAGATGGCCATTTCCATCAGCTGGGGTCAACTGATCATCAGCTTCATTGGTTGTGTCCTTGGGCTGATTTTTAAACTCCTTAGAACATCCTTTGGCATAATAAACTTCTACTCTATTTTGTGGCTTTTGCACAGGACCCTGAGTATGCAGGTTTTGCATTTGACTCAAGCTGGTTGAGTCACATTTGTACTTTCTCAAATTGATTTGAAATCCATTTCCTGTAGCATGGACAGATCTCTGCCACTGACATGTGCTTGTTGGATGACTTGGTTCTAGACAGATAGAAGGATATTTTGGAGTGTGATAATAATGGTTTAATAGAAAGTCAATGAGGTCACATGTTTCATGGTTTTTCTTGACATGGTCTTGCTCAGATAATCTGAGGTGGTCTTCATTCTCAGGAGGCTGACCCTGAATTAATGTAATCTGCAAGGAATCCTGGTCAAAGTCAAAAATGTCATTGTATTCATTGGTGAATAATTGTCCAGTTCCCTTTTTTCTGACTGAATCATTTCCATTTTTTCTACAATGAAGGGAAGATTCATGTAACTGAGCCCTATTTCTTTCCTCCATTTTTTGTTTTAATTTATTATCTAAACTGGCAACCTGTATCTTGGCACTTTCTCCTGATTTTGAAGATATTGGGTATTTAACTTTTCTTTCTTTAGAGTTTCCAATGAATTCCCCAGACCATGAGTAGCTTCAGGGCCTGCAACATCTACTTCTTGTGGGTTAAACTGTGTGGGTTCCTTCAAAGAAAAAGGTTAAAAGTCTGATATAAAAAAACTAAACAAATAAAAATGTTCAAAGAAAATTTGGATTTCTACCATTTTTGTAACAGGTTTCTAATACCACCTAGGATCAATCCAAATTAGGAACACTGTTGTACTAGGAAACAGGAGGTATAAAATTAAATGTCTCAGTCTAATATGAACTGCTTTTACTAGATTTGTGCCATCCTTATATTACAAGACACCACTATTTACATGCTTTCAAAGCACATGACCCTTTTGTTATTTGTTCACAAACTGGGGGTATGAAGAGGAATTAGAAATGCCTTATAGCCCTCCCAGAAAATCCTAGAACAAAAACAAAACAAAACTGGTGGGTGAAACGTGTCTATAAGAGAGTCAACTGACTTGAAAGGTAACCTGTCTTTCTGTTTTTCATCCCAGTTTTTTTCCTATGGATTGCTGATGAGGGTGTTTCTGCCCACCCTCAGTCAGAAGCAACACAGAAAGTAGAAAATGTGGCCAATGACAACGGTTCTATCTGTGGTGCTACAATCCCACCCTGCTGGGGGAGTTTATACAGTGCTTCTACTGACACCTAGTGCAAATCATGACATAGTGCTTACCCATTAACTAGGATTAGAATATGGGAATTGCGTAATCAGTATAAAGTATCAATGGGGCCAAGAATTAGACATCATTCACATTTAAAGAGAAATTCTTCAGTGGTTATTAAGGTAAACTTTAAAAGATCCAGCTACCCTTATTATAAGTGGAAATGCAATATTTTTCTGATCCTGGTTTCACTGATTGTTCACATTATGAGAAGACTGAGATTTCAAATATACATTAAATCAACTCAACTAATGCCATTTACCCTTTGTATAGTATTTAAAAACACTGAATATGGCCCGGCCAGCATGGCTCAGTGGTTGAGCATCGACCTATGAACCAGGAGATCACAGTTCAATTCCTGGTCAGGGCACATGCCTGGGTTGCAGGCTCGATTCCCAGTGTGGGGCAACTGATCAATGAATCTCTCTTATCATTGATGTTCCTATCTCTCTTTCCCTTTCCCTTTCTCTCTGAAATCAATAAAAATATATTTTTAAAAAACAAACACTGAATATGGATTTTTAAATGATCAGTTTGGCTTAACTAAAGAAGGTAAAAGACCTCTACTCAGAAAACTACAGGACATTGAAAAAAGAGATAGAGGAAGACATAAACAGATGGAAGAACATACCGTGTTCATGAATTGGTAGAATCAACATCATTAAAATGTCCATACAACCCAAAGCAATCTATAAATTCAACGCACTTCCCATTAAAATACCAACGGCATACTTCACAGATCTAGAATGAACTCTCCAAAAATTCATCTGGAATAAAAAAAGACCCCGAATAGCTGCAGCAATCCTGAGAAAGAGCAAAGTAGGTGGGATCTCAATACCAGATATCAAGCTGTATTACAAAGCCACTGTTCTCAAAACTGCCTGGTACTGGCACAAGAACAGACATATAGATCAATGGAATAGAATAGAGACCCCAGAAATCGGCCCGAACCAATATGCTCAATTAATATTTGACAAAGGAGGCAAAAACATACAATGGAGCCAAGACAGTCTCTTCAATAAATGGTGTTGGGAAAATTGGACAGATATATGCAAGAAAATGAAACTAGACCACCAACTTACACCATACACAAAAATAAACTCAAAATGGATAAAGGACTTAAATGTACGACAGGAAACCATAAAAATTCTAGAAGAATCCAAGGGCAACAAAATCTCAGACATATGCCGAAGCAATTTCTTCACTGATACAGCTCCTAGAGCAGTTGAAACTAAAGAGAAAATGAACAAATGGGACTACATCAAAATAAAAAGCTTCTGCACAACAAAAGAAACCATCAACAAAACAACAAGAAAATCCACTGTGTGGGAAAACATATTTGCCAACGTCATATCTGATAAGGGCCTAATCTCCAAAATTTATAGGGAACTCATACAACTTAACAAAAAGAAGATAAACAATCCAATCAAAAAATGGGCAAAGGATCTAAATAGACACCTTTCAAAAGAGGACATTCAGAAAGCCAAGAGACATATGAAAACATGCTCAAAGTCACTAATCATCCGAGAAATGCAAATCAAAACAACAATGAGGTACCATCTCACACCTGTCAGAATGGCTATCATCAGCAAATCAACAAATGACAAGTGCTGGAGAGGATGTGGAGAAAAAGGAACACTTGTGCACTGCTGGTGGGAATGCAGACTGGTGCAGCCACTATGGAAGACAGTATGGAGTTTCCTCAAAAAATTAAAAATGGAACTCCCATTTGACCCTGTGATCCCACTTCTAGGAATATATCCCAAGAAACCAGAAACACCAATAAGAAAGGATATATGCACCCATATGTTCATAGCAGCACAATTCACCATAGCTAAGATCTGGAAACAGCCTAAATGCCCATCAGTAGATGAATGGATTAGAAAACTGTGGTACATCTACACGATGGAATACTATGCTGCTGTAAGAAAGAAGGAACTCTTACAATTTGCAACAGCATGGATGGAACTGGAGAGCATTATGCTAAGTGAAATAAGCCAGTCAATGAAGGAAAAATACCACATGATCTCACTCATTCATGGATAATAGAGACCATTATAAACTTTTGAACAATAATAGTTACAGAGGCAGAGCTGCCTCACACAGATTGTCAAACTGCAGTGGGAAGGCCGGGGAGGGTTGGGGGGCAGAAGGGAGGGGGGTAAGAGATCAACTGAAGGACTTGTATGCATGCATATGAGCATAACCAATGAACATAAGACACTGGGGGGTAGGGGAAGCCGAGGTATTGTCAAGGGTGGGGAAAAAAAAGGACACATATGTAATACCCTTTGTAATGCTTTAAGCAATAAAAAAAATTTTTAAAAATAAAATAAAAAAAAATGATCAGTTTTGGAGCCTTTCTGACCTTTACTCTGGGACATCTACTAAGTCTGGTTATCTTTAAGAGGTCAGTGAGTGGAGGGAAAAGAAGTTCCAAAATTGGAACTTTCCAAATAAAACAATTGCTGTGTGATATGAGAAATTCCTCAGCAAATACTTTAAGACTAATTAACATGAGCTTGCTATACAAAGCTATCTGTTCAAGACTCTCCCTTCTCATTCAAACTGTTACAGATACATGGACATGTAAAGTTAATGGAAGACTACAAAACTAACACCCACACCATCCATTTCTTCCCCTGGCATTTTCTGTTACATCCATTAGGAACCTAGAAAAATAGATACGCTAGCTACACTGCCCTGGGTAAAACTGTCTTGAAGTTTAGGAACACAACGTGTGTGACAGATGGCAAAGGTGAGGCACAACTCCTTGAGAGAATTTGGGTACACCTTTTGGAAACCCATAATTGGGGTTACTAGAGATCAGCCTATTGAAAATAAACTGCAATGTGCCTTCCATAGAATCTATTTTAAATAGTTGATAGCTTAACTGGAAGGGTTGTGTCTCCTACCAAAACTGAACAATGAATGAATGGGAAAGAGCCTTATTGCAATTTTCCTCAGGAGCACCAGTAGCAATCAAGTGGCCTCCACCTGCCTTGAGCCCGTAGGAACTTCCTCTCCTCTCACTCCTCCGAAGAGTTGGGCTCTCCAGGCGGCTCAGCTTTGTCTCTGTCCCGCTTCCTTTGCTGGTGTCTGTCCCTTCAGGGGTCACCTCCTGAGCCTGGCCTTCTTCCTCTCTTCCTGGGCTTTCTTCTCCTCCTTTCTTTTTCTGGACAATGATTAAAGGGCAACTATTCAGAAGGTATTTATTTGTCATCTGCTCTCTTCCCCACTCCTTCACCACTGTGGGTGGGAAGAGAAGGGGGCAACATGGACAGACAACAAATCATTTAGGTTTGTAGGAATCTCTCACTGCTAACCCCAGGGCCTGGCAGAGACAAAAGACACTGTGATGCATCCATCAAAAGAGAAAGACACATAATTGAGTTGATTAATTAGAAGCAAGTACAGGAGACCTTACAAAAAAAGATTACAGAATTTGAAGGAGGGGCCTCTAGTCTCCACTTTCTCAAACCACAGTCATGGATTACTGGACCAGCTTTCACAGTAACGATTTCGTTTTTCTTGAGATCAAAACCTTCCATGAGCTGGTTTTACATAGGCAGATAAAGGTAAGTCAAGGCACTCAGAAACCTTAAGGGTGAGAACTGGTCCTTCATATATATTATAACACAGTACACTATCATAAAATAACATATTGGTGCCCTAGCTGGTTTGTCTCAGTGGTTAGAGTGTCTACCTGCAGACTGAAAGGTCCCAGGTTCGATTCCAGTCAAGGGCACATGCTGGGTTGCGGGCTTGATCCCCAGTAGGGGCCGTGCAGGAGGCAGCTGATTAATGATTTTCTCTCGTCATTGGTTTCTATCTCTCTCTCCCTCTCCCTTCCTCTCTGAAATCAATAAAAAATAAAAAATAAATTTAAAAAACATACTGGATTAAAAGATTATGGGCTTTTTAAAAATATATATTTTATTGATTTTTTTACAGAGAAGAAGGGAGAGGGATAGAGAGTTAGAAACATCGATGAGAGAGAAACATCAATCAGCTGCCTCCTGCACACACCCTACTGAGGATGTGCCCGCAACCAAGGTACATGCCCTTGACCGGAATCGAACCTGGAACCCTTGAGTCCGCAGGCTGACGCTCTATCCACTGAGTATGGGCTTTTTTTTAACCTGTTTTCTGAAAATATAAACTGTTTTGGTTAGGCCCTATGGAAACATGGGGAAAGAAACAAAAAAGGACAATTATCTGAGTGAGAACTTAGCCCAAAAGCTGAAGGATTATCTAAACTGCATGTTCGGTTCAGAAATTTTGGGGAATAGTTACATTGACTAGCCACAACCTCTGGCCAAGTTTCACAGACATGACCTCAAGTAAGTCCTTTCACCTCAACAGCTAAAAAAGTGAGAGACACAAGGAAAGATACTCTTTATCTCCCTTTTTAAATGGCTGTAATTTACAAGAAAAACTGAAAGAATAAACATGCAAGGGGAGGGGCCAGGAGGTCAAACTGGTTTTCAGAGCCCAGAAGTTCTGGCCCATTTGTACCTTGGAAAACCTTTGACAATCCAATAGTACTTTCTAGTCTCAAGCTCCTAAATTGGGAAACAATGATAAGTTCAAAGGAATAAAGTTTCACAGAAAGAACTAAGCCAACAAGAAATATAGTCCCAATAAATCAATCCATACCTTCTTGCCTATGAGTTAGTTTGAATATTGACCATCCTGTTGAAGAAAACCTCTTCTAGACCTGAAAAGAAGTTTAATTAAAAAGCATTTTAGATTGGTAGGCTAGGTAAAAGTTGGTAAATTTTAGGTAAATTGGTATCTTTTAAAAATTTTGGTAGGCTAGAATTTTCACTATAAAAGTTCCTGGCCCTTTTTAAAAAAATCATTTTAGCTTAATCAGGCTAGAATTTTCACTATAAAAGTTCCTGGTCCTTTTTTAAAAATCATTTTAGCTTAATCAGGCTAGTACATTATTTCTCACTACTTGTTCTCCCTAACAAGGATGTTGTCTTTTAAAGTCTCTTGTTTTCAACTGTTTTTGTCATTTTGGGCTTTGTAATAGCACTGCTGAAAGAACTGCGTGCAGTTCTCCAATCTGAGCCAATTCCTGTCCCCTCCCACCTCTATGTAATCTTTCTATGAAGTCTAGCCATTCATCCAAAGAGATAAATCCATAAATCAAAAGTACAACACCCTCGTTGTTAAAGTTGGTCTCCTTACCTTACAGACTCTTCCTGATCTCTCTTCTTTTCTTTGCTTTCTTCCTCCAGTTCTTGTAATCTTAGTCTTTCCTGATTTTGCCTCCAAACAACATCTTACGGAAGTGTTTGGCTGTATCATACATAACCTGACCCCAAATATTTCAAAGTTTCATTATAAAAGTTGGCCATTGTGTCTCAGGCCACAGAAATAAAACTAATTTGGGCACAGGCAATTCAAAACCAAATGAATTAAAAATAACCTCTCTATATCCTAGTACCCACACTGTTCTACTACTTCCACTGAGCCTTCCTAACAGTCTTGTGGGCTTCAGGATTTTCTTTGGCAGAACCTTGAGGAGCTCACTTAACTGTCACAGGTGACATCACAATGCCATCATCAGGCACAGGCTCTGATAGGCACAACCTGGGCAGCTGGGCACTGGTATATATGGGTGGTCATTATAGTATTTGCTGTATCTTTTGTCTGACTGAGTAGCTCATAATTTTAAAATGTACATTTTAACAGAAGTATCTTCACACATAACACACCTACACACATTCATACATAGGAAGCTACTTAAGCTAAAAGTCTAAATTCACGCTAAAGATTAATTTAGAGAAAAAGGAGGCTTTAGCAGCATCCTTTCCTCTGCTGGATTAAGATTTCAAGAAATAGATGACTAAGCAGTCAGACATCAAAAAGGTGACATGACTAGACAGGCTGAGTGTAGTTTGAAAGGAAATAATCAAGTTTGTTGGAATTATGTTTTAGCAATTTACCTATCAGACATCTTGAAAATATAATTTGTGATCTCAATAATAAACAGAGTAAATAGTTCTCCTTGTGATTTCAAACTCTCTCTCAGCAGATTGTCAAGTAGAATAAGCACATGAGATACTTCGATAAGAGCCATGACACATTTTAATGCCTTCAAGAAGTTATGGCAGAACCCCGGATTATAACAACAATCACTTAAAATCCCAACTGGCAGATTGCCTGATAGCAAAAGAATGTTTAAATCAGGATTATTTTTCTTCCTAAACATCCATTTATTAATGACAACACAAATCTTTACATGAGCTATTGATCAGAGCCCAGTTGAGTCTAAGGAAATTTATTCTAGATGCTTCCTTGTAGCTTTTACCTGAACAGTAAGAAATAAAAGAAACTCTGGCTACTTCTTACCTTAATGTTACATGCCAGAGCTTTCCCACCATCCCCTTTAAGCATCAGCTTCATCCCTCAAAGGGTCTCCATGGCTTTTATGAAGTCAGCTGACTCCTAGTACTGTACAAAGGCCTCAAATGTCTGCATGCTGAAGCTAAAACCCCCAAAGCTTTCACCATTCATTACCTCTCTGTAGGGGTTAAACATAGAAATATCCACATTCTTGATCTTCCCAAAATTCTCAATGACCACCTGTAGGATTTTTACACATGGCTTCCCCCCAGTGGAACCTTTAGGTGCAAACCACTTGCCAGGCAAGCCTTCAAAATGTGTGGAATCCAGGCTCTTATTGTGGTCCTGCTCATCAGCCCTGTCACTTGATGGGGCCTCCTGTTCCTTCGGGAAGTGCTCCCACTGTCCCTGGGCATCTGTAGCCACTACTTTTAAGTCTGATTTCAATCCATTTAGCTTGATGATATTCCCATGTAATTTTGCCTTCAGGATCTAAACCAAACTTTGTGTTTAAGCCTCCCCCTGGGATCGGATGAAATCCTTCATACTCTTGGAGTTGAACTGTGGTGAACTAACTGATCAGGGCAAATCAGCCTCTTCAGCTGGTCAAGAACTTCCCAGCTCAAGAAAGGCCTCATAGTTTCTGTACTCTCTGGGAGCCTTACATTGATAATCAATTTTGCTATGGGCATGAGGTAGAGGTGCTGATCTGCACAGAGCTCTGTTGCCTCAGAGTTATCATACACCACCGTCACCGTCATCGTATCCTCAGGCAACCTTGGATGGTGAAAGGGAACATTTTCAAACAAATAGAGCAAAACACAAATTTGGACTTTGAATGGTGCTAGCATTTGCTGGACTTAGGTCAAACTGAGAGGGGAAAGTATACTATAGCGATATTTAAGACAATAGCTTTCTTTTGTTTAATATGCTTTAGAGGTTGCAAAGAGTTTCCATATACTGTCTCAGTTTCCTTAACTGTGAAATAAAAATAATAGGACTTCAGGAAGGATGAAATGGGAGAGTACATGTGAAATCCTTAGAATAGTGCTTGGATTCAATAAACATAAGCTATGGCTATTGTCTATACTACTTTATCTCATTTGATTCATGAAGCAACCTGTGAGTAGGTATTTCCATGCCTGTTTTACTGATGGGAAAATTTAGATGAATTCAGGAAAATTAAATGAGCTGCTCATACATTAAGACTCTAAGATTCCAAACATCCAATATATTATAAGTCCCATAAAAACCTGCTGGAGGTGTCACAGAAAGAGGGCAAGAGTAAAATACATGTAGCACCTTCATGAACATGCACCTAGCTAACCATTCTAAGGTTGGTTTCTAAGTCTTACATGCCCATATCAATTCTTATTCTTCCAGTCTACTGACTTTAACTAAATTGAACTCTAAGTTCAAGTGAAGAAGAGACAACCTCTTCTAATAAGTGACAAAGTGAATTTGTCCTCTACTTTGGGACTAGAAAACTCCCAAAACACGACTGCTTGTGGGCATTTCACATTAACAAACTATTTTAGGCTGTCTCAAGGTGAAGATCACTAATACTGGGAATTAGGGATTTCTGCTTCTATTTGCTAACTTAAAGTAGCACTTCCCAATTTTAAAAAAAAAGCTTTTATTTTCTCTAAAAGTAGATATATTCAGAATCTACATCACCTGATTTTCTCATTAATGTCAACTTTGGGGACATTTAGACTCAAACGTATATAGCCAGATGATGGAAATTCTAATACAAAATTTATTACTAAGTCTTGGTTAACATCATAGGTACACATTTCTTTAATAGCTGTCCTTGAAGGACAATATGAGTCAACTCTATTTAAGAGACAAAGTTTGCACAAACTGATTGTTTAAAAGGCCACCAAAAGCAGTATCTATAATAGTAGGTTGTAGAAATCCTTATGGTAGCAACACCGAACTGAGATGATATGAGCATAAACATGTTCTTTCCCAAAAACATTATCTAAATAGCAATTGGGAAAAAAAAAGTCCAGTAAGTTTGGTGCAATTTGCAGCATGAGAATCAACACTAAACTTCTTTAGGAGAAAAATTCATTTGACATTCAATTAAGATATACTGAACCCCCAAATTTAGCTATAGTGGATAGGTATCTATTTATATGACCTAATTTAAATCAATGTTTTAAAAAATGTTACAGTAAAAGTACACACAAAATAGTTAATCACTTCAAAGGAATCAGGTTTGTCATGTTCTCCATTTTTCCAGTGATACTGCCTTTGTTTTAAACATTTTAGAATGCTTCTCTTGGATTGCTTTCAAAGTCTGGGTTACATTTTTTAAAAATAGCCTTGATGAAGGTCAGTTTCAAAATTCTTCTTTTTTTTGTTGCTGTTGTTATTAAACCATACTGGGGATATTTTTTTTTCAATTGATTTTTAGAGAGTGGAAGAGAGGGAGAGAGAGGGAGAAGAGAGAGAAGGAGGGAGGAGGGAAAGAAACATTGATGTGAGAGAGACATGTCGATTGATTCCCTTCCACATGCTCCCAGACCCGAGCCATGCAACCCAGGTATGGTGCCCTTGACTGAGAATCAAACCCGAGACCCTTCGGTGCTTGGGCCGACGCTCTAACCACTGAACACACTGGCCAGGGTTCAAAATTCTTTTATCATGGATTTGATATTTAGAAATCATCAAAAATTATCTAGAATCAAGAATGTTGAATAAAATGGATCAGTAAAAGAATGAATTTAATTGGCTTATAACACCCTCCTTAGAAGGAGATTCTGAGAAAGGCTCTAATTATATTTTTTAATAAGTGGGTACACTATTAGAAGGGTTATACAGCTTTGAAAAATGACAACTTTAAGGACACTATTCATTTGAATATTGTGGTATAATGGTTGCAAAAATGGCCCTGATTTTCCACCCATCCCTGTATCTACAGCCTTTGTAATGTAACTTTGAGTTATAGCTATCAAAAAATAGCCTATTTTTCCCAGCCCTTGAATGTGAGCTAGTTTTTGTTTTATTTTGGTTTGCGGTGTTTGTTTGTGTTCCCCCCCTCAATAGAATGTACCAGAAGTGACAGAGTGTCAGACCTAAACCTATGTGTCAAGTAGCCCTTACTCTCCTGGATCCTTACCATGCCATGAGGACAAATCTGGGCTAGCCTGTTGACATTTAACACAATTTAACACAATTTAAAAGTACTTCAAAGTGTGAATAAACATTTCTGCAGGCTTCATTGGCTTGCCAGTCCATGACCTCTGCTCTATAGTTTATCTTTTCACAGTCATTTCTCCAGTGAGAGGACTCTACTAGTATACCTCGATTAGGAAACATTGAAGTTATTTTCCGACTTTCGCAAGAGGACAATTTTTTAAAAATGAAAAAGCTGGCCTCCCTTAGAATCCTCATTTCAAATTCCTTATTCCCAACAGCAGCGACAATAACTAATCAAAAATTTGTTCTTCTCATATTTTCCCCAGTTGTTTGTTCATGGGCTTGAGATCTTAAAAGTTTATTAATATTTCATCTTAAAATACTCTCCCAAAATAAAGAACTGATTTTTTCTAATCTTAAAAATTACTGAGGACCTAGTATGTACCAAGAAGTAGGCTTTTTACATATGTCATGGCTTCGATCACTACAAATTAACTAGACAGTGCCTGGCATATAGGTGCACAGTAATGATAATTCCCATTGTGGTGCTTTTCCCTTAAGAACTCAGTCCCATGTATAATAAAAAATGAAAAATAATGTATGTTAGAGAAATAAAATTTTAAATAAAATTTTAAAAAGACCTCAGTCCCAAAACTAACAAAAAATGAAGAAGAAGGAGTGGGAAAGGGAGAAGGAGGGGGGGGAGGAGGAAAGGAAGTTGGAAGAGTAGAAAAGAATGAAAAGGAAAAAGAAGGAAGAAAAGGGAGGAGGGAGAGAGGAAAGTGTAGATCTGTGCTTACTGACAGGGAAGGGTGCCCATAATACATTTTAGAGGAAAAAATAAAAGGCAAGTTGCATAATAATAATGTGTAATATGATCTTGCTTTTGTAAAAGTAATATATTAAATTTAAGCAATATATTTAATATAATAAAGTTTTGTCACCGCAAAATGTGCCTTCTGGGATATTGATTTTAAGCTGATTGTTAAGAAACAAAAGACTCAGAAAGAATCTTTGACCTTCTCCCCTTACCTGCCTAAAGGAATTCAGGTAGAAAATCCTGCTTAAAGGAAGAGAGCATCACCTTAGTATCGTAACATAAACTAAGTGTGGCAGTAAGAAATCTAGCAAAGCCTGTTTGTTAGCCTCTCTCTCCTCTGTGTCCATTGTTTCTGCGTGGCCCAGAAAGAATTTGTTTACCACATGTTTGCTCTTTGTCTACCTGTAATTGCCTGCTTTTCCTTTGAAGTGCCAGACCTCTGGCCCCTTCTCCCTTGTCCAAAATAGCACATAAACCTCAACTGCCCAAGGTGTCTTCTGGTCTCATATCTTATGACAGCCCCACATGTAAATCTGTTATAAAATTTGGACATTTTCTCCTGTTGATCTCTCATGTTTATTTTGATTATTAGCTCAGCTAGAACTTAGAAGGTGAGAGGAAAATTGTATTTTGAGCCTCCCCACCCCCAACATTCATGGACATGTACACACACACACACACACACACACACACACATACACACACCTCTACATATAAAGTCTGGAAAGATGTATATCAAATTGTCAACAATATTTCCTCTGGGAAATGGAATGGGAGTATAGGACAGGAATGGACTTTCCCATTTTACCTTGCACACTTCTTGTTGCTTCAATTTTTGAATGTTTACAATAAACGTGTTAATTTTGTATTAAATTTTCCATTGAAAACAGTTAGCTCACACAACAACAAACTATTAAAAGGAAGCAATTCACAACTACTAATATAAACTTGCCTAGAAAAGGACCGAAACTGAGTAATACCGTAGCAACTCCCTCCCCCATCAGAGATTCCCCTCTCTCTGCCATCACTGTAAATGCTGAGAGGCATCTGAACCCATAACCAAAGATTGTGTGAGTCAAGGCTGAAGCCTTGGAGATTAGAATAGGTAAAATAGGATTTTCAATAATGAAAGAGCAGTTGACCAATTCAATATTAGATACACCATAGACTACAGAAGGTGTTTTAAAAATTGCTTGAGACATACTTGATATATAACATAAGGTGCCCATGTATCAAAAGTGTACATTTTGATGAATTTTGACATATGTATACATACCTATGAAACTATCACCACAGTTGAGATAGTGAAAATGCCCATTACCCCAAAAAGTTTCCCTTGTGCCCCTTTGTAATCCTTCCACCACCCACAGCAACCACTAATCGGGCTGCAAATTGTTAAAGTCATAGTTGATTTATCTTATAATAAAAACAGACAGATGTTTATAGAAAATACTTATACCCAACACTCAACTTTAACATATGCTTTCTTCTAAAGCAGGAAACTTTCTCAACTCCAAGCTTTAGTGTGCCAATCCCGAATCTACTTAAAGCTGCCTAGGGTTATACATTGCTCTTGAAAATAGGTCTAGCCCTGACCGGTTTGGCTCAGTGGATAAAGCATCGGCCTGCGGACTGAAGGGTCCTGGGTTCGAATCCAGTCAAGGGCATGTACCTGGGTTGCAGGCACATCCCCAGTAGGGGGTGTGCAGGAGGCAGCTGATCGATGTTTCTCTCTCATAGATGTTTCTAACTCTCTATCCCTCTCCCTTCCTCTCTGTAAAAAATAAATAAAAA